CTGGGAGGGGGGGCGCGGCGCTGGCCTCACCTGTCCTGCCGGTGCTTCGTGGCCAGTGCCCTGTGCAGCTCCTCGATGACCCGGCTGGGGGGCAGCGGCCTGTGGACGGCGGCGGTGAGATGTGGGGACCCCGTGGGGGTGGAGAGCTGGCCCCGCAGGGCAGAGTCTGCATTCTTCACACTGGAGCCTTGGAAGAGCGTGGCCGGGCCTGGTTTGGGAGGGACCAGCCAGAATGTGATTCTCTGGGGGGCGAGGGGCCTTGCTGACAGACAAGCAAGTGAGCTGAGGGCACGCACCTGTAAGCCAGCCAGCCCCGACGAGCCCCAGGTCCTGGGTGGGCCACCGGCCCCAGAGGACAGGCACCCACAGGCCAGCCAGCCCCCCACCCCCAAATCTAGGGAGAAGGGTGCATCCCTGTCCTGTCACGCTCCCTCTGTGATCCACAGGGGCTGAGCTCTGCAGGGGCGAGGCCAGCAGCCTCCCTGCAGGCCCCGACCTTAGAAACACCTCCTCCAGCGTCCCCGCACTTAAAACGTGAGCAGTAAGCATTGACTTCCATGGAATGAATCTGACAATGGTTCAAAACAGACCTGTCCAAATCCCTCCTAGAAAGGTGAGGCCCTCCTCCTTCCTTCCTTCCCCCAAGCCCTCCTGAGGTATGCCCACCACACTGAGCTGAGGGTCACAGAGGTGGACCGGGCAGTGAGGGCGGTAAGCTCCATGCCCCCGGGGGCTAGGCAGGTGGGAGGTGGAGGAGCCAAGGGGCCTCCTGCAATGCAGACAAAAGGGAGGGGCGGGGACCGTGGCAAACAGAAGAGCCCCTCCAACCTAACGAGGCCGCTGCTGCCGTTCAGACTCTGCTCTTTGCTGCCATGAGGAAAAACAGGCTGGGGGCTGCCAGATGCAAAGACTTCCCAAGAAAAGCTAGGTGTCTGATGATAGGTAAAAATCTCCAATGTTTAAAATGCAGGCAACAAAATTCTTTAGATATTGAAGACCATGCAGATCCAACAAAGCAAATCTGTGGGTGGGATTCTCTCGTCTCGGGTGGAGGGTGGGCCGAGGATCCTCTTGCAGTGCCTTCTTCCCCTCACCTGGCCTGGGACGGCAGGCACCAAGGGACCCTACGGGTGAAGCCCAAGAAAAGGGCTTTCTCCTCCTCTGCTGCCACCTAGCGTTCATATGCTGCAGCAAACATGTCCTCCAAAAGAAGGCTGAAGCAGAAGAGCAAACGAAGACCAAGTCCCACAAGGTAGGCCCAGCAGTGAGAAATGAGACCGCCGTCCAAAGCTCCTGGCCACCCTTCCCTTCCCTCCAGCTCCTAATTCAGTCCCCAGATCAACCTGAGACGTGTCAGAAGTGCCCACCACCCCAGACGTCCCCCAGTCCCTGGGGACTGAGATGAGAAGTCAGAGGTGTTGACGACAGGCTGGGGCAGGACCCTGGGACCCAGGAATAGGATGTGGCACAAAGTGGAGCAGTTCGAGGAGACATGGAACTGGGTTCCCGTCTCAGTCAGCCATGGGGCCCTGGACAAACCTCAGAAGCTTCCCAAGACTCGGTTTCCCAACTGTGAGTTGGGGCTCATGCCACATCCCTCGAGGGAAGGTCCAGTGCTTGTGCGTGTCTGGGCCTTGCTGGGTGGCCGGGATCGGTGTGCGCCCAGCAAACGTAAGTACTGACGGTGCTGCTCAGGTGACCGGGACCAAGCGGCTGAGCTCGGCTATCTGGTGTCATCCTTTGTGACCTTTGTCATCAAAGACAGTGTGGAAGGCCTTCCTCCCAAAAACAAAACCACCTCTTGGTGAAGAGCCTGCTTTTCTCCAAGATCAGCAGTGATGGGACAAGCGATACGCAGGCAGGCAACAGCAGTAAATATCGACTTCCTGGGGCTATCAGGCCAGTGTGGCTGAAGTTGCCTAGGGGGATGCCTCTGGAGGCCTCTGCCCAGCCCACAGCCTCCTCTCTGACCACCATCCCTAAAGTCTGGTGTCATCCCTGGCTCTGTCTTACTGGACAGAGCTCACTGGAGAGAGAATCAACAAAATCCAGACCAGCAGAGACAGCAAGAAACATTTACTGAGAGAGAGACAGAATGAAAGACACAGACTCAGAGAGAAGCAGAAAGAGATGGACAGACAGCTCCCGAATGTTCAGACAGACAGAGACAAACAGAGACAAAGGCCTCATCCCAGGACTGGCTGGGTCTCCTGTACTCATGTTCTAGAAGACATGTTCTTTGACTCCTGCAAACAGACTACCTCATTTGCTTGAGAAGCCTGAGGGGTCTACTCTGGACAACCAGAGCTCCTTGCTAAGAACAGCTCTCCTACCTCTGGTTCTTCCCCCAGACCTGCCACCCCTAAGCCCAGTAACAGTCAAAGGGTGAGAACTGACCCATAGTGGGTGCCCAATCAAGACTGGCTGAAATCATAGATGGATGGATGGGTGGATGGGCAGATGCAAGGGTGGAGGAGTGGGTGGTTGGGTGGATGGTTAGATGGGTGGGTGGGTGAATGGATGAATGATGGATGGATAGGTGAGTAAATGCGCAAGTGGATGGGTGGGGGGATGGTGAAGGGAGGGAGGAACGAATGTGGACCCACCTGTGACATTTTTCACGATTTTGGATCCGGCCTTGGGTGGCGGGGTGGGCAGCAGTGGGGGACTGGGCAGCTGGCCCACGGATCTCTCCAGGGGTCTGTGAGGACTCTCCAAGGAGTCAGCTAAGGCTTGAGAGGACTCATCCGAGGTGGACAAGAGGCTGCCATCATCTTCTTCTTCACCACTGGATACTGATGGCAACTTGGCTAGTTGAAGAGCAAAACAGAGAATTCACAAAACATAGTTCCTTCTGACTGTGGTGGAGAGAACGAAGAAATGCAGAGCCCTTGGCTGGGTGGGATTTTAACACTGAGCAAAACACACAGGAGCCACTGCACACACACCCTTAACCGCCTCTGAACCCAGCTGTCAATACGACCACCAGAAATGGAGGAAGGGAGGAAAGGAGGGAGTTCCAAGAGCGTGGGTGACCCGTTCACTTTTCCACTCACGAGGTTCATGCCACGCTCCACCTCAGCCACAGACCAGCCCCACCTGGGGTGGCGGGCACCATCACAGGTTTGGGAGTCAGACACACCTGGTCACAAGCCGACTCTGCCACTCACCCTGTGACCCTGGGCAAGTTACTAAACCTCTCTGTGCTTCTATTTACTCATTGATGATGTGGAGCCAGTAATAACATCCTCTCACAGGATTATGGAAGGCTTTAAACAGGAGGTGATGATGAGCTGTGGGCCTGAGACACAGCGGCCCCTGTTAGAACATCTGTTATTTTCACATGTCCATTCTAAGTGGCCCCACCTCCGGGCCAGCCGGGAGGTGAGTGGTGCGGGGTGCGGACAGGGAGGCACCTGGAGGAAGGGTCAGCTCTCCAGAGCCTTGGCTTCCTCTCCTTGAGTCCAGGCTTCCAATCAACTGCTCCCCCACCTCCTGGACCCCCAGCCTGTCCATCCTCCGCCATCTCCTAACTCATCACCTGTCCCCTTGCCCACGTCCCTCTTTACCCAGTTCAGGCCCCAATGCGCATCACCTCTACAGCACTCCCACAGTACCCACCAAGCCCTGTGCCTCGCCTCCTTCTCATTTCCCTCTCTGGCTAAACCCCATTCTGGAGGTGGCCTCCATCACCTGCTTTCACCTTGCCCCTGTGCAGCGAAGCGCCACAGGAGGAAGAAAGATGACTCAGGAGACCCCCACCACTCAGGACCGGCACCTTCTGGGGCCCCTGGCTCTGCCCTATGGTGGGTGCGTGAGTGGATGGTTGGATGGTTGGTTGGATGGATGGATGGATGGATGGATGGGTCGGTGGGTGGGTGGATGGATGGATGGATGGGTGAGTGGGTGGATGGGTGGGTAGATCGGTGGATGGATCAGTGGATGGATGGATGGATCAGTGGATGGGTGGATGGATCAGTGGATGGGTGGATGGATCAGTGGATGGGTGGATGGATCAGTGGATGGATCAGTGGATGGGTGGATGGATGGATGGATGAGTAAGTGGATAGATGGGTGAGTGGATGGGTACATAGGTGAATGGATGGATGGGTGAGTAGATTGGTAGATGGATGGATCGGTGGATAGGTCAGTGGATGGATGAGTGCATGTGTGGATGGATGAGTGGGTGGGTGGGCGGATGGGTGGGTGGGTGAATTCTGCATTGCATCTTCTCCACTCAAGCTTTTCTACGGTAACGACTACTTCTCACTTTCTCTGTTCCTTTCCTGCCTCCAGCTCCTCACCTGACCTCTCTCCTCCTGTGTGGCCTCACCTCCGGCTTTACAGGGAAACTGAGGCTCTGCCAAAGGCCCATGGCCCTTCTTGACCGACTACTACAGCCCCCAGGTCAAATCTGTATTTCAACCAGCCACACTCATGGCAAGGCACTGAGTTCAGGTTCCAGCCCCCAGACTGCACACATCTCTATGGCACAACATTTTAGAAGGAGCCAGGTGCCCAGCTCAAAAGCAAGGTCTGCCAACAATGCTACAAACCATTGCTGACCGGGCGGCGAGCAGCGGGTATCTCAAAGTACCAGCAGGTTTCTATGCTGGAAGCATGTCTTCCCTCTCCATCCTTCCCTTCTTCTTTCTGTTTTCCCTTCCCCACCGCCAGCAACAGTCCTGGTCCCTCCAGTTAAAACAACAGCAGCAACCCCGCCCACCACCTCCCCCAACAACCACTCAACATGGCAGACACGGTGCTAAGTACTCGCCACCCTCAAAACAACCCTGATGTTGGGACTGTTATTTTCACTATTTAACAGAGC